TCTATGTTTAATCTTTGAAGAATTGCAAGACTTTTTTCCAAAGTGCCTGCACCATTTTATATCCCCACAGGCAGTATATGAAGATTATATTTTGTGGCACCCTTGTTAACCCTTGTTTTTAACCTTTTTTATTATTGTTATCCTAGTGGGCATCGAGTGGTATCTTGTCATGGTTTTGATATAAATTTCCTTAAAACCTAATGACGTTGAAAATACTTTCATGTGCTTATTGGATATTTGTATATCTTCTTTAGAGAAATATCTACTCAAAGCTTTGTCCATTTTTTAAATTTGGGCTATTTGTCTTTTTGTTGTTGAGTTTTAAGTATTCTTTATATATTCTAGATACATATCCTATATCAGATGTATGATTTGTAAAAATTTTCTCCCATTTCGTGGGTTGTCTTTTCTTCTTATGGTGTTGTTTGAAGAACCAATGTTTTTAATTTTCTTGAGTCCAGTTTACCTAATTTTTCCTTTTGTTGCTTGTGTCTTTGGTGTCATATCTATAATCATTCCTTAATTGAGGTCATAAAGATTTATACCTCTGTTTTCTTCTAAGAATTTAATAGTTTTAGCTATTATATTTAAGTGTTTGATCCATTTTGAGTTAGTTTTTTTGTATATAGTATGAGGTATGGGTCCAACTTCACTTATTTGCATGTATAAACCTAGTTGTCCCAACACCATTTGTTGAAAAGAGTATTATTTTCCTATGAAATTGTCTTAGCACTCGTGTCAAAAATCAACTGATTGTAAATATGAGCATTTATTTCTGGAATCTCAGTTCTATTCCATTGATCTATATATCTATCCTTATACCAATACCACACTGTCTTCATTGCTATAGCTTTGTAGTAAGTTTTGATATCAGTAAGTTCTCCAACTTTGTTCTTTTTCAAGGTTGTTTTGGCTATTATCATTTTACATTTTATATTTCTATCTCTGATCCATTTTTAGTTAATTTTTGTATAAAGTGTGAGGTTTAAATCAAAGTTCATTTTGGGGGGCTATTGATGTCATATTATTCTAGCACTATTTATTGAAAAGGCTATCCTCTTCCATTGAATTGTTTTTGCAAGTTTTGTGAAAAATCTTTTGGGCATATATGTGTTAGTCTGTTTCTGCATTCTCTATCTGGTTTATTGACCTGTGTGTCTATCTCTACCAATATCACACTCTAGCTGTATAGTAAATTATAAAATTGAGCAGTACGATTTCTCCAATTTCATTCTTCTTTTTCAACATTGTTTTAGGTTTTCTTATTCTTTTACATGTCCATATACATTTTAAGGTGAACTTTAGCTGGAAAAAAATCTTGTTGAGATCATGATGAAAATTACCTTTTTTTTTCTTTCTTGGCTGCACCACGCAGCATACCCCACACCACATGGGGTCTTAGTTTCCTGACCAAGGATCGAACCCATGGCCCCTGCAGTGGAAGCGTGGAGTCTTAACCACTGGAATGCCAGGGAAGTCCCAAGAGTTACATTTAGTTTATACATTAGTTTGTAATGAATTGCCATCTTTACTACAGTTGACCTGTGTTCTATGACCTTTATAAATAAATTTATTTGTTACTTCTAGTAGTTTTCTTGAGGACCACAAAAGGTTTTCTTCATGTACAAGCATGAGATCTGTGAAAAACATCAGTTTTATTTCTTTCCCAATGTTTATGCTTTTATTTTATTTTCTCATCTTATTGCATTGGATAGGACCTCCAGTATAATGATGAACAGAAGTACTGGGAACAGATATCCTTTTTATATTCTGATCTTAGAATACATTCAGCTTTTCATCATTAAATAGGAAATTAGCTATAGAATTTTTTTAGATGCATAAAGTCAGATTGAGGAAATTCCCTTCTATTCCTAGTTTCCTGAGAGGTTTGTCTGTTTGTCTTGCCATGGAGGGTTGCTGATATTGCCAAATGCTTTTCCTGCATCTTTTAAAATTGTTCACATGAGTTTTCTCTTTTATTTTGTTAATGTGAATTACATTGAATTTCAAATGTTAAATCAACCCTGTATTCCTGGAATAAACCCCACTGGATATGATTTACTAATATATTTTAAATAATTTTTGCATCTATGTTAACGAGGGATATTATTTTATAATTTTCTTATCTTGTAGTATCTGGTTAGATTTCAGTATCACAGTTTTATTCTCGTCACAAAACAATAGGGAAATGGTTCCTGCTCCTCTACTTTCTGAAAAAGTTTTGTGTAGAATTGGCTATATTGCTTTCTCAAACTTTTTTCTAGAATTCACCAATGAAGTCATCAAGGTCTGGAATTTTCTTCAAGAGAAATAATTTTTTTTTTTTTTTTTTTTTGTGGTACACAGGCCTCTCAGTGTTGTGGCCTCTCCCGTTGTGGAGCACAGGCTCCGGATGCGCAGGCTCAGCGGCCGTGGATCACGGGCCCAGCCACTCCGTGGCATCTGGGATCTTCCCGGGCCGGGGCACGAACCCATGTCCCCTGCATCGGCAGGCAGACTCTCAACCACTGCGCCACCAGGGAAGCCTGAGAAAATTTTTGGCTATGAATTTAGCTCCTTTAACAGATGTGGAACATACAAAATATTTCTATTTTGTATGTTTTAGAAATTTTTTTCAGTAAATTTTTCCATTGTACCTAAGTTGTTAAGTTTATTGGCAGAAAGTTTTTAGTAGTTTCTTCTTATTATGCTTCTAAAATCTATAGAATCTTTAGTGATGGTACTCTTTTTATTCCTGATTATATTTCTCTTTTCCTAAATCAGTCTTGCCTGGAGTTTTATGCTTTATTATTCTTAGACTTTTGTTCTTTTATAATATAAACATTTAATATTTAAATTTTCCTCTAAGGCCTTCTTTTGTTGCATCCCACAAATTTTATGTTTTGTTTTCATAATTATTTAGTTCAAAATATTTTAAAATTTCCATTCTTTGTCTTTCAATGATATTGACATTTTTGAAGAATACAAGCCAGTTATTTTGTAGATCATAGACTGTTCCTCAGTGTGACTTTTCCTTGCAGTTTATCACATCTGAAGGCATACAGTGTACATCTGCTCTTCACTGGTGATTTTAGTTGATCACATAATCAAGATGATGTCTGTTCTTTCCTCACTGAATTATTTCTGTTTTTACCCTTACAGTTAATAAACAAGCTGTGTGGTGACACTTTGAAAACATGTAAATATCCTCCTCTTCATCAAACTCTACTTACTAGCTATATAAATTATTATTACTTGAGCTAATCTTTACAGAACTGTAACAATATGATGATTTTCTAATTCTGCCACTCCCATCCATATTTGTCATTTGGCTTTCTACTGTGAGAAAGAAGCCCTACCCTCTTCCTTATTTTATTTATTATTAATATAGACTCATGGATTTCTATTTTATTCAGCAGATTATAATCCATTACTATCATTATTTTGATGCTCAAATTTTCCTAAATTTAACCAGTGAGCCACTTGTTTAAGATTATTCCTCTGTCTTTTTTATACATCCCCATCATTTTTTTGAGTCTATACTTACTTCTGATACTATAGTATCATTTTGAAAGAATACTCATTGTATTAATATCCACATATCCTAACATACTTAAAGATTTCCTTACTTTTAGAATTTTAAATTGTAGGTTTTAAAAATGCTAAACAGTGTTGTGATGAACATTCTGGTAACTGAATATTTATACAAATCCAAAATTATTTACCCAGAATAATAAATTTCTAGAAATGGATTTGTTAAATTGCCCTCCAGAAAAATTATACCTATTTATATATAGCAATATATAAGAATGCCCATTTTGTCATTCCCTTAGTTGGGGTAGAATTTTAATCAGTCTAGGACCTTACTGTATGGTTCCCAGACCAACAATATCAGCATTACCTGGGAGCCTGTTAGAAAAGGAAAATCTCAGACCCCACCCCAAACCTACTGAGTTAGAATATGCATTTTAACAAGCTCCCCCAGGTGATACATAGGCACGTGAAAGTGTGGGAAGCAATGTTCTAATATAATTTGTACAGGAGTCACAAACTGAATTGTTCCTAAATCCAGGCAAGGTAAGTCAGGAGCCTATACTGGCATTTATATTAATAAAAGTTGAAAATGACCAAAAAGTAAAGTAAGTTGTAAAAAAAAAGTACTTATGTGTTATCCTATATATATGTATATCCCATATATATGTATACCCTATATATATGTATATCCTAAGCAAGCCTTTTTCGGTGAACAAGACAATGAAAATCAGCATAGAATACCCACACTGTTCCCCTATAACACAAGAGACAGTGTTATCTCTCTGTCTTCACCCACTACATACCAAACACCCTATGCACTAGCTCATTGTTTATCTAGTGGTCTAAGGAAAAACTGAATCAGAACTGCTTGAGGAGTGTGTTACACTGCATACTCCTAAACCCTACTGCCAGAAAATCTGTTTTAGTAGGGTCTGATATTATGTCGAAGAATTAGCATTTTAATAAACACACCAGGTGATTCTGATGCCCTGTTTGAGAACTACTACACCACCACACTTTCCAGAACACATCTGGAATGTATTGTTTGATCAAATGTTTTACTTGCTTCAAAAGAATAGTTGCATTTTTATAAAAGCCTTCTGCCAGAATTCACTTTTTTGTTGTTATTAGTTAATAGAATGAGCAAGTCTAGGAATTGTAATTACTTTTTTAGCCCTCTCTAGTTTTAACCAAGTGACTCTAAGTTAGTGAGAATGGAGAGAAATAATCCTGTTGAACTCTATTTCACCCTTCATTCCCTATCCTGGAGACTGCCTTCTTGAACCAATTCACATTCTTTTCAGATGATACCTCAACACTTTTTCTTTCCTGTCATTATAGTTTGGTAAAATAAATTCATATCGTGGAAAATATGATTCTATCAAAAATTTATTATGATGTTAAAATATATTATTCTTATATAAATATATATCAAATTGTTTAAAAACTATTAATTTTTAAAACACAAATAACATTTTTTTATGTAGGAGGAGCAAAGAAAAAAGGAAACAGCACATAAAAAAGGTACTTTCTCTCAACAATTTATTAGAATAAATTGTAATCAACTTCCAGCAATTCACATTTTAAAGACTCAAGAGGCTATCCTAAATATATCCTAAATATCTAAATATTTTTTAAAATCATAAAAATTCAAGGGAAACATTTATTAGTATATGAATGGGCATATATTTTTTAGAAAACAAAATTTATAATGTCTTGTCTTAAATTAAAATGTGAAATTTTAATTTTTGTCTCTTCTTTATTTTTTTTTTTTATTTTTATTTTTTTCTTGCGTTATGCGGGCCTCTCACTGTCGTGGCCTCTCCCATTTGCGGAGCACAGGCTCCGGACGCGCAGGCTCAGCGGCCATGGCTCACGGGCCCAGCCGCTCCGCGGCATGCGGGATCC